AATACAGTTTAATTAGTAGGTGGGGTTTTGTAGATAACTATCACAAATGCACTGCATCATTATTAAAAGCAAGCTTACATTTATCCTAATGCTAATCATCTTGCTATATCGAAGATTGCCAAAAAGTACAGTAGTTGCTTAATTTGCTCAATATCTTGACAAAGACTTGGTTAAAGTTTATTCTGCAGCTTTTTGCTGCATAATTGACCGTTAATTTGTAGGATTAATCTTGAATGAACCACAGTGCATATCTAGGATGCCCTTGATTTTGGAAAGTGTTCTGGTTTTATTAGTTCTTTGAATATATAGCATAACCTGTTCTAGCCTTCACCAGATATTCCAACCAACTCTTTTTTTATTTTTATTTTTATTTTTTTGCCGTATGCAATATTCAGATCTCCCAAATCTCAATGTGTTCTAACCGCTGTAACAAGAACAACTTTGCTTTAAATCAAATTTCCTAGAAGGCAACATCTATATATATTCTCCTCTAATTGGCTAAGCTATCAGACATGTACTGAAGAACCAAGTCCCTTTTTGGTAACAAAAGAGCAGAAATGATGTTGATCTGTGTCAAAAGGCAAAATGCCCTTTGGCCAAAGGAAACAGGAAGCTGAGATCTACCCCACCTAGAGGGAAAATGTCACCATATCACCTTTGATATAGTCTCAAAGTAATTCTATAAAGTAATGGAAACATAACTTTTAGCGGCTAAACCAATGTTGCTGCCTGGCTTGAATGCAAAAATGAGATTTCACTTGTATAAGAACATCATTTTAATAAAAAAAATTAATGAAGAGTATTATTTTTTTTGAACTAATTAAAATTACCATTTTTTAAAAGTTTTTAATAAAAAATATTAATTTTTTAATTTTACCATTTAAAAATTAATTAAATCTTAATGCTGAGTTGATAAAAGAATTTTATCCATGAGACTCATTAAATTACTGATGTGTCAAAAAAATTTACAGTGATTGCACAGACTTGGAGTTGATTTAGACAATAAAAGATAAGTATTCGACACTACTATTTAAGTATCGACACTTCAATATAAATTCCACACCTCGCTCGCCAAATTCTTAACACATCGCATCGACACCGAAATGGTAGTGTCAGCACCCAACCCATATCGAAGATCTTTTTCTCTTTTCTTCATTTTAACAAAAAAAATAAAAAGTATATAAAATTTTAAAAAAAAATCATAAATATGGTGCTGAACATATAGACTAATTAAATACAATAAGATACATCATATAAATTTATTAAAATTAATTTGTAATTTAAATATATTATATAAAATATTTTAAATAAAAAATTTATTTAATGCATCATATTAAATTTTTGATAACTATATTAGTAAAACCAACCATTTTAAAAAGTCATTAGGACTGATCTATGTTTAAATATTTTGATTCTCTTGGGTAAAGCATTCTGTTGGCTATAAAGAGAGTTGTCCACGTGAAGAATTAGATGATTTATTTTGAAAATTATGATTAATTTTTTTTTTACCTCTTTTATTTAGCCTTTTCAAAATTTTTATATGACAAAAGATACAAAATTACTTAAATATGATATTACATATTTACATATTTCCTAACATTATAATAATATCAATATAAAAATAAACTCATCTTTTTATCTATTGATTTTTGTACTTTACTTTTTTTTTGAGAGTTGGACGATACATTTTTCACTTTGAAAACAATTATTGGGTCTGAAAGGGTATCATTTGATTTCTTTGTATTTGTAGAATTTTATCATTAAAAAATTAAAAAAATAAACAGCATATATACACTTTAAGGTAAAAGGAAAAAATTAAGCACTTAGGAAAATAATTCTAACCTCCATTAGTTGTTAGTAAAGAGAGCACATAAAGACAAAATCCACCCTCAAAAAATATTAGTAGGGTCACATTCACTTAAAAAAAAAAATAGAGACAAATTACCTTTTTAAATTATAAATTAATACAAATTACTCATTTTTTAATATTTTTTATTAAAAAATACTAATGTAACAAACAAAATTCTGACATTTTTCGTTGAAAAATGAATAATTTGTATTGATTTATGATTTAAAGGGTAATTCATCCCTGTTTCTTATTTTAAGGGTGCATGTGATTTTTTTCAGGGTGGATTTGAGGATTTTGCAGCACATAAACACTTCTTAGACCAGCAAATTACAGAAATAAGATAAACATTCCCTGCTTTGTCATCTTGCACAGGCAATATGAGCTACACATTTACATCCTTCACACACGTAAACCCAGTTCTCTGGGTTTTTGCCATTGTTACAAAAATTTCATTAAGAATATTCATAATCAAGATCATCCTCCCCCAGTCCATAGTGAAGAGCAAGAGGATGTATGTGGCGTCTGCTCTTAACTTCTTAAGAACAAGCTGTAACAGAACACAACCAATATGAAGAATAAAATTGCAGTCGAAACATCGGTAGCTGATAGACTCGCCTAACTCACCGCAGCCACAGCATGCATATTTGTAATTATGGGCGTGTGGCATGATGATGAGACTCAGAGGATGTGCATGAGAATTATGTCGAAGAACAATTGGTAGATGTCCAAGTTTCATGTTGGTTTGAAACGGACAATGATGGCAATGCTCAGAGAAGTCGCTGTTGCTAACCTTACAGCTGTCGCACCTGTGCTGCTCTGAAAAATATTTATAATTAGGCTTATTCCCTTTCAGATATGAGGGGCAATTTTCGCGAAGGTGTCGACCGCGAGCTTGACAACCCCTCTAACATCGAAATCATCCCTCTTATCCTGGGTTTGACATTGGACTGCCATTAAACTTCCGTCTGCTGACTGTGCCAGCTTCACCAACTGATCAAAGTGGATTCGTTTACGGAGCGGGGCACTAATGACGACCCTGATCTCCATCTTGGGCTGGGTGGAGGCAACTTGACAGACAATGTTGAAGCACAAATCATCAAGTTGGGATGTGGCTGCAGGTTTGTCAGAGGAGGATGGCAAGGATTGTTGAAGATTTGAGGCCATATCCTGATGATTAATGAAGGAGTATCTGAGATGCTTAGCAAGTTCCACGGCTTTGCTTCTGTCTTCAATTGGATGACCTTTCACTGCTATGATCATCGGAAGGTTCTTTAATTCCCTCTTCAATTCCATTGATTCTCTCCCTCCATCTAGTGGTGGATGATATTAGAAATAAAAATGTTAACAATTTAACTTGAGGAATTGAAATTGCTATCTGTTAGAAACTGAAAAGAAGGAGAAATATCTGAAGAAAAGTTTATTGTTTTCTTGAATTATACTGTATGTACAATGACCTATATATAGGTGTTTACAAAGAGAATATTCTAAAGTATAAAGTATACAAAGAGAATATTTTAAAGTATAAAATATTTACAATAATTCTAAATATAATTATGTTCACATCTTAACATCCCCCTCAAACTCAAGGTGGTTGTGATGAAACCAACTTGAGTTTGGAAAGAAGAGTACGAAAGCGTTCAGGAAAATGAGCCTTGGTAAAGAGATCTGCTGGTTGATCAGCGGAGCCAATGAAAACCAAATAAACAGTTCCTTGTGCAACATGATGGCGAATAAAGTGACAATCAACCTCAATGTGTTTAGTGCGTTCATGAAAGACATCATTATGAGCAATCTGCATAGCACTTTGATTATCACAATATAAATCAGTAGAAGAAGGTTGAGGAATGCCCATATCTTCAAGAAACCACCGCAATGAAAGAAGTTCTGATGTGGTATCCCCGAGAGCTCTATACTCAGCTTCTGTACTAGAGCGAGATGGAATAGCTTGTTTCTTACTCCGCCAAGAGATGAGAGAATTACCAAGGAAAAGACAGTAACCGGTGGTAGATCTACGATCAGAAGAATCACCGGCCCAATCAGCATCAGAGTAAGCGCGAAGCACAAGGGAGGAGTTGGCAGAAAAATGGAGTCTATGAAATAATGTTCCCTTAACATAGCGAATAATGCGAAGTACTGCTGCATAATGAGTGGAGCGAGGAGCAGCCATAAACTGACTAACAATGTGAACTGCATATGCTATATCAGGGCATGTCGTAGTAAGATAAACCAGACTACCAACCAATTGCCGATAGCGAGTAGGATTAGAAAGTGGAGAGCCATCCATAGGTGTAAGCTTGACATTAGGTTCAAGAGGTGTAGA